CATCTTAACACCATTCTCTGTGTAACTGATAGAACCAGGAGACAGAAAATCAGTAAGAATATAGAACACTTAAATAGCGTTATCAACCAAATTGACACAATTGACATTCATAGAACACTCCACAAAACAGTAGCAACAAACACTGCAAGTTCAGATGCAACATTTACCAAGACAGATGATATTCTGGCTTATAAAACAAGTCTCAGTGAATTTAAAACTATTCAAGTCACACAAAGTGTGGTCTATGAACATTATTTATTTACTCACCTGTTGTGCAACTGAAAATCACAAATGTTACTAAATTTATAAGATATAGAATATTTTAAGATCTTGATAAATCACAAAGTGGTTAATTCGAAATCACCAAGAAATAAGGATTATTATAAATATGTGCATTTCAACCAGTCACCTAGAATAACCTCTTATCAATAGAAGAAAGAACAGAGACTGTAAAAATGTCGCCAGTCCTCTCTCTCTCACTCTCTTTTTTAAAATTACTGGCTTTCTTTTTAGAAGTAATCAGTTTTCATACATTCTTTGACTAAAGGTTTAGACTTTGAATGTTTCTTGCCACTCCAGAGTGAAAACAAATTAGGTGATATCCAAATGAATTTTATTTATTTATGTTTTTTTCCTGAATTTTAAATAGCAATATTTAAAATAAGTTCTATAGTATTTCTTATATTTTTAGACTATATGTATTTTATATCTTACACTTAAATATGTAGTAATTCAGTATATTTTTAAAATATGAGAATATAAAGATAGTGTTTTATGGACAAATCCAAATATATATGGAGACTACAACTAAAGATCTTGAGTTTATTAAATCAGTTATATTCTGAGATAAATTTTAAATACATTTTAATGGATAGTCTCTTGATATGTGATACTTCATAAAAAAAAATCTAAATAGAAGCTAATTGACCTAAATTTATATCTTGGTTCTACCCCTTTCTAGCTATATGAAATAAGAAAAGTCATTTCATCTTTCAGTTTATCAGAATTTTAGTTATAGAAATTATCGAAATCACCAATAAGATATCTAGTATATACTCAAGCTCCATTATCTATTTTATTCTATTCCATGATTTCCTAAGTGTAGAGCCTCTGTCTAGCTATTGCAATTTTAATGTCTGAGCCATATCTCGGCTTGGGTAGGATATGTTTTGTTGTAATAATTCGTCGTTGAAGTCCTCTGTCACAGTTACCAGGCGGCCACAAAATTTGGAAGCTGTTGTCATATTAACAAGAGTGATGCCAGCAGAGGCCTGAGAAGTAATCGTACCTTAGAACTTTGCTCCTGAAAAACTCCCTTTTAAAAGGGAGTGTGTCCCATTCAGCACACTCTAAAGACCTTCGTATTAGACTACAGAAGGACCTAAAGAAAGAGGGGCCATTTCCACATTCCAGTTTCTTTTGAGCCTTCTGCTAAATGTAGCTATATAATTGGCTTCGGCGTATCCATAGAGTAAAAACAACACACACGCTCACATCAAATTGAGCAAAGTCATCGAATAAAATCATAATATGATAAGGCGCGGCACTGTGTTTTACAGTAGTTGGTTACATAGACTGGTGGGAAGAATAATGGGTGCACAGGTCCTAATCCCTGAAACCTGCGGATAATTGTCCTTACAAGGGGGAGGGGGAGACTTTGCAGATTTGATTAAGTTAAGAACCGTGAGAAGGAGAGACTATTTCGGATCATCCAGGTGGATCTAACGTTTACCGAAAAGCTTCCTGAAGGGAAGCAGGGAGGCAGGCAGTGTGAGTCAGAGAAGGAGGTGCGTTGATGGCACAGATGTCCAAGCAGGGCCACGGATGGCCTTTCCAGTGGAAACGGACCCTGAGTCAAGGGACCTGCGCAGTGTTTGTGCTGTGAACGGAATGTTTGCCCTTCCCTCCGTTTAATTATTGAAGCTCTAATCCCCAGTGTGATGGTACTTGGAAAGGGGGCCTTTGGGAGGTAATTAAAGTTAGATTAGGTCACGAGAGAGGAGGCTTCCTGGAGCTAAAGCCCTTATGAAATGAAGATAAGAAACAAATTCCTCAATCTGTGTGTCTCTGTTTCTCTCTTTCTCTCTCTTTCTCATGCGCACACCAAGAAAAGGCCATGTAAGGACACAACCAGGAAGGGGACTCTCCCCAAGAGCCCAAACATACTAGCACCTAACCTCGGACTTCCAGCCTCCAGAACTGGGAGAAATAAGCATCTGCTGTTTGAGCCGCCCATCTACAGTAACTTGCAACAGCGGCCTGAACTGACTAATACATTCCACAAGCCTTCAGACTCACACAATCCCATTGACACCTTCATTTTAGACCAATGAAGTTCCTATCAGAGTCTGCCCTCTAGAACTGTAAAGTGATCTATTTGTGTGTGTGTGTTCTTTTAAAGCCACTTTATTGTAATTTCTCACAGCAACAATAGGAAAGTGTTACAATGACACAGATAAGTGAAAAAGGCCCTGCTAACACATGTGGGCCACCACTGTAACAAAACCCTAAAAGCTCTGTCATTAGCTTTGTATGGAGGCTTGGATGTAGGTGAGGAGAAGGTTATGAAGATCCCTGGAATAGTGAAGGATTGCTTTTAGAGACCGAGACAAAACATGTTTTGGCCGAACAATTAGGAAAATTGTCTCTGACAAATTAAAAAACAGAAAACGTAAGTCATGAGTTTGTGAATCTGACTAAGGCGATTTCCAGGCAGCACATTTAAAATGGTAATTGTCTTTTTTTTTTCCTCTTCAGGTAAGATAAAGTGTTGCAAGAGAGAGATGCACTAACAAGATACAAGCTCAATTTCAAGCAGAATTTAGAGAATTATTTGCCACGCAAGACTTGTTTTGTCATTCCCATGCTTTCCAGCTGTCAAAAGTTTCTCAAAGGAATACATGGCCTAAAGTGATAAATCAAATTAGGGTATTGCCAGTAAAACACGGTCTTGAGATCAAAACCAAATCAAGATGTCCTTTGTTTAGGTAATGGAAATTGAAGGAAGTGTCGCATAGACATTCTTAATAGAAGGAATGGGCTTTAAGACTCTTAAAGACATTATTAAATAGCACCACATTTTGCAGCCCAAGAGAGAGAGGAAACTATCTTGAGGTTTGAGTGTGGGTTTTGTCTAATGTAGTAATTATAATGTGATACATAAAAAACTCACACTGTTTTTTAAAGGATTTGTAACGGCTTGAACTTAATGAAACTTAGTTTAAATGAAAATTGATTTCAAGGTACCTGGCCAGGAAGGGTGACAAGACATTTACTCAGCCACAATCATATACCATTTCCTACAGAAAAGTAAGAACATCTCCAAGAACCACCCTAATCACAGAAAATCCCCCATCCTGGAGGCAGATAGGTTTAGTAACTTTTGTTTGTTTGAGTTTCACAATTTCTACAGAAAAGTAACTGTCAAATGCCCTTCTTCCCCCTTTCTTGTCTTTTGAATTGTTATTGTCTTGCCCCTGTCTTGCAATTGTCTGTAAAGGTTTCTTAGGGCAGTTACATTGTCTTTTTTAGTCCTCAAGCTCTGCACTGAGGAACTACATCCAAGGTATAATACCCAAGGAGAGTTATTGGCACCTGAAATTTATTTTGTTGAATAAATTCTGAAATTTAAGGTTGATCCTGATAACACAAGATTTTGGAAGTTTTGGCGATCCCTTCAGGGTGAGTGAGTTTTGCATGTGAAAAGAATGTGAAACATTAGGAAACAGAAGGATGGTGCTATATTGTAACATCGGTTGTGCTCAATAAATCATGCTATTGCTTACACTCCCTGTGCAGACATACCATGTGTTTATTCACAGGACTTTATTTGACCAGTTGGACATTACCAACGTGATGCCAACAGAATCTTGTTAACAAGGTGCACATCGGGGCTTCCATTTGTAAGGTCCCTCTTCAAAGCCGGTAGCCACGTAAGTGAGCTCACCTACACCATATGGAGTAAAATAATTGTCAAGTTGAGGCAAGTTAGTACACAGAGTCATAAAAAATAATATCTTGTTGATGTTTCAAGCTACTAAATTTTGGGTTGACTTCTTTCTCAGTAAAAGATAACTGAAAGAGAAGTTACAGGGGAATTTATAGTAGGCAATGGCTTGGGTTAGAAAGAAATGGAAGAAATTTGCTAAAATATTAATATTTACCTGGTATATGTCTACCAGTAGCAGAGACTAAATTAGTCTTAGCCTCTTTATCATGTTATATTTTGCATTTCATTATTACCATTCCTTTAATTAAATATAGGAAAATGAAACAAGCACAATGCATAAATGCTTTTTCTTTCACCCTTGAAAGCCTATTTAATGTTACTTTTATTCTATATTTGAATGTACTTTATGGAATTTGTAAGGCTTATATTGAAAATTGCCCCCCTTATGAAAACTTGGCATTTACTATTGTGTTTTGTTTTCATTTTAAAGAATAAGTTAAACTTTACACAGGCTAAAAAAATAGTGAAATCAACCAGTAACAGCATGTGAGGCATGATTAGCTTCCCTTCATTTGTAGCTCATGAAGTTCTGCAAGAAGGTATTCTATATAATAACGAGAAATAAAATGTCAGAGTCTGCTAGATGCTAATCTAAAGTTGTCACTCACCATGTGTGTTCAACCCAGTGAATCTCAAACTTCTGTGTGCCTCAGAGTCACCAAAAAGCTTGTTAAAACACAAGCTCCTGGGCCCCTTCCCAGATTCTTCTGATTTAGCAAGTCTGTGATGTGGTCCAGAGATATAAATTTCTAGCAAGTTCCTGGCAGTGCAAAAATTGCTGTTCTGCAACCACATTTTGAGAACTACTGCTCTTACCAACTGTTTATTCATTAAACTCTTTGGGTACAGTGTAGAAGCTAAAAGATCATGATTGGAAGTGAGGCAAGACGGCAGAAACAGTATCTTCTTTTGAATATATAGAGATACATTTGGAAATGGTTAAAAATCTGAAAGTATTTGTCAAGTCATAAGCTCACACATCACAAAGATATTATTCAAAATAAACATAAAATGCAACACTTTATTAAAGTAAAAGTATATTTACTATTAATATACAAATGGTGAAGTGACAATTTTGATATACTTACTGTAAGCCATACTTTCAATGTCTCTCATAAATACAAAACTTCAACATTTGCATTATAATTTTTACAGTTTAGACATATATATACAGCATTTCATAGGGACATACTCTATTGAAACAATAAGAAAAACTTGTGGTGGCTAACTAACTGAAGAATATAGAATTCGAATGGAATATATAAGTTAAAGAAAATAACACTATGTTTTAATGCATACTGAACACAGCATAGAATTCACATACCATTAAAAAAAAGTTTTTTTAAACTTTTATTTCTAAGAAGTTCACGTATTCCTAACAGAGTTTAGAGGCAAATGCAAAACCAAGAACATTCCTTGAAGAATTGAAACAAATATATTTGCTCTTAACAGTACCATTTATTTTATATAATGCATGTTGTTCTCTAAAAAAATCCTATTTGCAAAATTGAATCATAGGTTCTAATGGTAACTTGCTCCTTTGGATTTCACTTCGTTTTCTCCTTTGCATCAGTAGAAGTGGTATTAATTTTCATCTAAGCAATGTTCCCAGTCCCTGCTCAAGTTATTCTCACACTAAATCCTTACCTATTCAAAATGTAGGATTTCAGTCTGCCTTTCTGGACTCAGTTCTTTGTTCCTCTATTCTCATATGCCTGGTTGTGATTTAAAACACTCCAACAGTCATTGTTTTGCTAATTCTTTTCCAAGGAAAGCTAAAACCAGATGCCAAAAGATGTTTTCATTTCAGAAAAAAAAATTTTTTTAGACAGGCGCTATTAAATTTATATGGGCAATTTTATATTAATAATTATGAACATCATGTGGCCTAAATCCTAAAAATTATTTTAAAAAATTATAGACAGGGTATCAACTAATGTATTAAGGTCATTGATAAAATTCTATAGTGACTAATGAACTATTTTTCTAAGAAGATTAAATGTGTTATCAAATAAATATTAAGTATTATATATAATATAAAAGTATATGAGGGAGAATAATTAATCAATTAGTACTCTCATATAATGTTATAAAATAGCTGCATCTACATAGGGAAATTTTTAAAAAAGGAGAGAAGGGACCTGGAAGGAAATTATATTTGTTCAGCAACTACTAAATATGGGCCCTTTTATCTCTCTCATTTACACATGTAATTATTTCATCTCAGAACATTATTAAGCCCAAGAGTTGAATACTTTCTTGAAAGACTTTTTTAGGATTGAAAGACTTCATTTCTGTGACTTCCCACAGTTTAATTTTAGCATAAGCTAATACATCCGTATGCAATTTCAATGTAAGAGAAAATGTAATGATGCTTCAACGGGTTAATGGGATGCAAATATTTTATCTGTAAAGGTAAATAATGGAAACAATCTCATAAAAAATATAGCTTCACATACTCCTAAGTTTGTCCAATAAGCATTCTGGACGGACCTCCATAAAGGATCGAAATTAAGTGTTTACATTATTTTCCATGAAAAAGAACATTGCCGTTTTAACAATCAATTGCAATACGTTATTCTATTTTTTTTTAAATTAAGAAATGGAGATTATTCTTTTTAAAACTTCGGTTTAGATATTTTGATCATCGATCATCTTAACAATAAGGGATGGTTTGTGCTCCCAAATCAAATATATACCAGGAATAACGTTAACCGGAGTGACACCATAATCATTCAACCTATTTTAAAAAGTCATCTGTTGTTTTGTTTTACAACTGGTGATACTAAATTTCGACAATATCTAGAATGTATTTATTGTTTAGAACAATACAGAACTAATTATGTATATTTTGTGTGCATTACAAGAATTGTTTTGTCATAAGTGGAAATAAGTTGCTCAGTATAATTTGTTATATTTAGACTTTGTACTCATGGAACAGTAGTTTGAACTGCGCTTGTTCACTGAGTGTAACTAAGGCAGTATCATTGTCACAGACAGGAGCAAAATATTTCAATGAAGACTGCAGTTGCATTTTTTCTTTTAAAAAGCAGACTCTCGTGCTAATCTAAAGGCACAAATACATTTTAATTATTTAAAATAAGCATAAAATAAAGGTATGAATATAAAATTATAATTAATTATTGGCACTCAAATAAATAATTTGATTAATAAAATCCTTCTATTTATATACATGTTTAATACAAAGACTAAGATTCATGTAAACGTTCATGGATGAAATAGCCTTTGAAAAATGCTTCTATAGGTATTAATATTAAAAATAAAGGAAAACTTGAACAGCATTACATTAATGTTAGACATTAGTATCAATAGAATGGTAATATGTCGACACACAAAAGTAACAAATCATTAGAAATTACAATTCTTAATTAAATTTCTTTGCAAATTATTGTAAAATACATTAACATATTAATTTGTGCCAGTTTTAAAAAACAAAATATGTTCTAAAATGCTGATATTATTGTTTCCTCTTATGTTGTTGAATATAGATTGTCATTGCCTAATTGCACATAATCTAGAAATACCAATATTTTTTAGTGATATCTTTGCTTCTTTGCTTAAAGTACCACAGGTTCAGATTGTTCAACATACTTATGCTCAGTCAACTCTTTTGACATTTGATACTAACACTTAAGAGTACTCTCAGACAGTAAAAATAACATTTATATAGTTACATGGATATGTTTAGTCTAGAGTAAGAATGAAAAACAGGAAACATGATTCCAGTTCTGTTCATATTTTACAATTTACTAAAATCCATCCCTTAGATGGAAAGTTTTACAAATAGAATAATTTGGAGCATTACATAAAAATGTTTAAAAAAAAGAAAAAAAAAATGTTTATCACAGTATTGCCTTGCTCCTGCATGGCATACGTTTCAAAGACAAGAGATAAGACCACTCTGACGATTGAAACAGTGCACTTGAAACAATGTCTACAATCAGTTCCAGATGACCTGCTAACTCCAGATCTTTACTCCACATTAGTGGCAAGAAATTCAACAGCAAATATATATTAAAGTAATATTTAAGTAAATTGCTTTACATGGAAAACTCAAAGAAAGGAGAGAAACAGAACTTTTAAACTGAAAAAACACAAAAATATTTGTTCTTTATTATGACTTCTCTGCTCTTGAAGTACAGCACGAATATAACAATAGTAAACATGCTAAGTTGCTTTCTAAGTTTTCCTAATTCTTTCACCATCGTTAGTTTAAAACCAGGTAGCCCTATCCGGGAAGAATTAGCATTCATGGCTATTGCTTCATTGACAGTTACTAAATCCACTTACCTTGCACAGGTATTTTGACTAGTTTTAGCACATTGATACGAAAGGGTGAAAAAACAGTAAAGCAAAGCAAACAGATAATGAGACGAATCATAATTTAAACAGCAACAAATCCATGAAAAAGACCGGTTGGATAATTCCTACTAAAATTCTTAGGTAGGCACGGAAGTCTTTTCTTTTTCTTCGGAATATGCCAGAAAGAACAGCAAGGAGAGATTCCTGCATCGGAACCTCTACATTCTGGCAAAGATGAGAGTTAGTGCCGGAACGTGCAGATGGGCAGATCCTGTCTTACTGATAACCAGGATCTTGTAAAATTAGTTAGCTGTCTCTCCTCGGCTGACAGTTCCCAGCACTCTGTCTATAAAAGTGTTCCTAAGTGGCATTCACATTGCATTTCATATTCATCAGGCTCTCTCATAGGGAGACAGCCTGAAGCAGGGCGCTCTGCCCTGTTAGAACATCCCTCCAAAGTTTTATTGGAAGGCATTCCCCAAACAATCAATATTTGGGCTGTTATACCACCTCGAACACTAACGGTTATGAATGTGATGGGGCCTAAAGAAACCTTTGGCTCTCTAGGATAAATAATCTAAAACCTGCTCCCAATGGTATGTATACTTATAATTATAAATACTTTTTTTTAACTTTATATATAATTGAAAATTATGTTTCAGTCTTTTACCTCTGGGAGCTTGCATAGCTTGGAAATTAATAAGTATTGTATTTGGGTATAGGCCCTAATGAGTAATATTAGAAAGTTGTGTTGAACAGTTAAGGGACTTCTTCAACCAAAGTTGTTGATCAAAATCTTAAAATGACTTCTAGCTACAACATCCAGAATAAAAAGATGGTAGTAATTCAATTGTTTAGCATTGACACTTTCATGCATGTTTAAATGTTAACATCTCCTTAATTCAACCAAACCTCCATTAGCCAATTACATTTACGATTGACCTATAACACTTGAAAAATGAATTTTTAAACAAAGATTATTTAAAGCAATGGGCAAAAAAATGTATCTGAAGATATGGTTTAAAGTATTAAAATGCTAAAGATCTGTTTTTTGATAAAATTATTTAAAAATAAAAGATAATCACAAATCTATAAATATATCAAGACAGCATTGATATTGTTCCCATTTCAATTTAATTTATTACTTGAAGCTGAGGGCAGAAGTCAATATTATTTTCACTTGCAATACATATTTTTGTGTGTGTGTGTGTGTGTAGTCCACTGTGAGTGAATATGGCATATAGAAAGAGAGATTTACGGAATCTTTCTAATCTAATTTTACATACAACTAATATTCATTCAAGTGGGTAACAATTTTGATCTGGCACTTCAGTCTACCAAAAATCAACGTAATTGTAACTTAAAAAAGAGTTTTCCAAAGTTTCTCTCCATTTTTAATATCTGCTCAAGACAGCTGGCTTCTTCAAGCCCGAGTTCCCTGAAGTTCTCCTGATAAAATAGTGTAACCTTGATTACGTGATTTCATCTTCAACTGAAATCCCCTTTAATATTCTATTTGCTCAAGAGAGAATTAAAAACATGCAGGGCTCTCTTATACATTTAGCTCACAAAGTTTTGTTTTTTTGTTTGTTTTGTTTAAATCCCTGTTTGTTGGAGAGGTTGTGGTATGAAATACAGTTCTTAAGAAGTAGAGCACTTTAGCTATCTAATACATTGCAGTTCTTCAATCATAGAATCAAATCGTAGAGTCAAATTGATACCCAAGCGTTGTTGCCAGTCAGGTCTCTATATAGAATTTCTTAACAAAATAAACAACAATAACAACAACAACAACAACAACAAAGGAAATGGACCATGGGCAGGAGTATTTGATCATATGTATATGTGTACAAGCTATTCCAAGCTAGAAGTTTCCCAAGAAATTAAGGTCAATGGAATAGTTTTGGTCATAGGGTCACTGCAATCCAAATGCTCTTTGTAGAATTGTTCAAGCCTCTGCAATCTTGGTGTTATGCTTTGCTGTCGTCGTCTTTTGATTGGATATCATTAGAAACCTTAATTTCTATATTTTCTGGATTTAGGACTTCTTTCCCATTCTCTTCTTTTAAAGGCAATTTTCTGGAAATAAATACAGAAATAATAAACATCATTTGCTAGGGCTCTTTAAATGGGAGCCCTTAACATTTAAGTTACTGTTTTGTAGAGGGAAGTAGGCTACAATTATTAGAATAATCAGATTTGTTAAAGCATTATCAAATTGACCAAAAATAACCCAAAAGAGAATAAAACAATATTGTTTACTATAAATATGTGGTGTGATGCAAAATAAAATTATGTATTTGTCAACTTAGATGCACCAAATCTTTCAGTATGGGTGGCGTAGATTTGATAATGAGTTGATAATATTAAAAATATAATTAAGTGTTTTGGAATTTTGAAAAGTCAAACTATTTTTATATGTCAAGAAGATGAACTTTTAGCACTTAAGTTTTTCTAGTAAAAACAACCAGCAGTTGCTGCCATATTCTATTACATTAACTGCAGAAGCTGGATGCAGAGGCTTCAGGACAATGAACATTAATCACGTGAATCTCTTGAGCGCAGATAGAGGTGATTTCTGAAACAAATTGTTTTCTTAGACTATGACAACACTCAGAATTTGATTTAGGATGAAAAGCCTAAATCCAGGTTTTTCTGCAAGGGAATGTTTCCTAGTAAAGAAAAAGGAACTTTTGTTTTGAAAAATGATGAAGTTTAAAATCCATTTTGGTGAGCAGTATTTAAAGAATGGTGTGATAGTCATGATTGCATTAGTGTCAAATATAGTTAATAAAATATTACTATTACTCCTTCTTAATATGGCCTTTGGTTTGAATCATTTTAATTTTTATGTACATGAACCTATTCCCATGTTCATACTCTTTAAAGGTTTAGTTAAAATACCTGCTATGGTTTTACAGTGGAGCTGTGAGGGATGCAAAAAGAGGTAAATAATATAATCTAGAATGGAGAGCAAGCACCATTTACTATGTAAATATTAAAATGACAGTTTAACAGTATTTCTTCCTGCTCTTCATAAATATTCTTTTAAAAAAGTATTGTGTATATTTCACATTATTAATTTCTATTTTAGACTGTCAGGTTTGTATTCAGAGTAATGACTAATTTCCTGACATGTCTTTATTTCAGTAAAAATCAATAGCATTTCCAAAGTATACTTTTCTTAAAGAGTGAGATTAATGTATAAAAACATGTCTTTTTGACATTTTTGTATAAAATTATAAGCATATGTTTGAAGAGTAGATTTGCTCTGGCTTTGATACAAATATTTCATGTGAAATTCCTGAAGAGAAAATGGATTTTAGATATTCACATGTAGTTTCAAAAAAAAAGCAACAGAATATTTCACAAATGATTACATTTGTAAATATTTACTAAAAAATAATAATTTGTTATAACTTTACAAATACTTATCCAAAAATCATTAATCATTTCAGTCTACATACTCAGGTTCTGTTAGTGGTGTGGTTTCATTTGGCTCATTTACTGGGCTTCCATCTTCATGATTAGTGATTCTTTCATCCTCTGTTCTCATCTCTACTATTGGCTCTTTTGATCCATCTTTCCTAGAAATATAAAGGCAAAAAATTCTTACCTATATATTGTAAAAATTGATGCATCATGAAATATAGTTTAAGATTTTCACTTTATCTCACCCCCTCACAACACATCCAACAGATTGAGAATACCACTAAGAATTTTTTTTTTTTTTTCATTTAAATTCATCTTGCCATATTTTTTTACTCAGAAAAAGTAAAATGAAGAAACTCCATTTTGGCTACAATTCTTTTTCTCATCAGAATTGTGTTTCAAAATTTGAAAGGGAAAATTTATATATGATATCTTTTATTGTTTTAAATGTCTCTACAAATATATATGAATGGTTTTGACTATAATGTGATCATTCACTTTTAACATATTCATGTTTTTAAGAAAATAAAGTAAAAGTAAGAAAAACAAGAAAGTCATTTGTTGATGATGAAGGGTAGGTGAGATTTAAGAGCTGGAAATTATGTACTCATAATATGGATAACAAGTATGCCCCTCCCCCAGATAAGGAAGGGATGTGGAGTCTTCAACTAGTCAGGGACATACTGTTACTCTACAGTCCTACAATTATGCTCTTGCGTATTTACCTAAATGAGTTGAAAACTTATGTCCACACAAAAGTCTGAACATGAATGTTTATAGAAATTCTATTTGTACTTGCCAAAAATTGGAACCAACCAAGATGTCTTTCTCAGTGGGTGAATAGATAAGCTGGTGCAGCCATACAATCAGATATTACTCAGCAATAAAGATCAATGAGCTGTCAAGCTACAAAATGACATGGAAGAACTCTAAATGTGTATTGCGAATGACCTAAGCCAGTCTTAAAAACCCAGATACACTGTAATTCCAACTATATGATGTTCTCAAAAAGGGAAAACTATAAAGAAAGCAAAAAAGATCAGTGGTTGGCAGGGTTTCAGGGTGAGGGAGTGAGGGAGAGATGCAATGGTGGAGCATTGGGCATATTAGGGCAGTGAAACTATTCCACAATATTGAAGTATAATATGTTGTTTTTATGTATCTGTTATATCTTTTTTCTCATTGAGGTTTTATATAATCTTTTTTCAATTTGAACTATGAAATTTTGGAAAAGAGTTTTTTCAAGGCGGGGTAACAGTGATGTAGAAAGTCATGGTGAATGGATAAAAAACATGGGATGAATCTTGTGTTTCCATCTTGCCAAGTCTTTAAGGTTACTTAAACTCAGCAGGATTTATAAACAGAAGTGGTGATGGATAAATTAACAAGTGATAGTCAAATAAAAATAAACAGCAGAACTTGAATATGCCTTGGTGCTTTGCCCATGGTCACCAATATCCTTCCAGTTAGTTAAGACTAAAGCATGAAGGTCCTTTTTGATATATCTCTTTCTTTCACCCTAAAGTCCAATCAATCAATAGTATTTTACCCTACCTCAACTCTATCCAGAATCTATATATTTTTACATTCCTATAGTAGTACTAAGGCACTACCTTTGTCCAAAAGGCCATTATTTTTTACCTGGAGTATTTTAAGATCCTTTTACTTGGTCTTAATTCTAGATATTTCCATTACAGTTCTCCCATATTTCATTCTTTACCAGTAGCTAAAGTAATACATCTTCTTAAAAACCTTTCAGTAACTTTTAATTTAAAAAAATGATTCTTTTCTTTGACCCAAGAAGATTTAATACTTTAGTCCCCAGGCAATTCTCTGACCTGATATTTGTATCAGTCTTTCTCTTTGCCTCATACCTTCATATTTATTTGTCCTTTCAGTATAGTAAGCTCATTCCTGCCTCAGTGGCCTTTGTATTAATTGTTTCCCCAGGATAGGATGCTCTTCCCCTCTTTGCTATATTACTGGCTCCTTGTCACTTAACTCTTCAGTTTCAGTTTTACTTCCCTTGAGAATTCTTCAACGATCCAGTCTCTAGTAATAATTTATCATTGTTTTTTCATTTTTCTTAGTGCTTATTACTACTAGACACTTTCATTTTTAGTTCTTGTTTATTTTACGTTTTCCTGCATTAAAACATGAATTCCATGTGAATAAAGTTTTTGTTCCCTTTGTTCATCACTTTATTGCTAGATTGCATAGCAGTGCTTGCTACCTGGTAATTATTTTGTAACTAATATTTGCTCAATGTTTGAGCAAGAATGAAAATGTATAAAATTCATCTTTGAGTTGTATATGTATATAACTTATCTAAATATGTATAATTATGTAATATAATACATTACTTTCTAAATAGGTGAAAAAGAAACTAAAACTAAGTTTGATGATATGTTTGTTTAGTTAATAAGACAATGTAAAAACACAGTATTTTCTTATGAAGAAAGCAAAAGATATTGAATGGTGAATTGATCCCACTATATCTACTGCAACACATTAATATCCAATTCAAATGTGAACTAAAGCCTAATTTCTGTTTGTTCTTTGCTATGTTCTGTGTCCAGCAATTAAGCAGGTGACATGTTGATTGCAAATCGAATCTATTTTTTAATAGAAAATGTATGCTATCTAATTTAGCATCCCTTGAAGTGAAAATTTCCCTACAGCATATCCATGAGAAATGGTCACAGACAAAATGCCTAATAATACTGAAATAGTCTTGGAGATAAAAAAGAACACAGCCATTCAGAATAAATTTTTTCTATATCCCTAAGCCTAGAAAATAATGTATGATACCATATGTACCTAAATGTATGCCTAGAAAAACAAGTAGAAAGGATTCAACAATCAAAAGAAATGAATTACTGTTACACTTTTGAGATAAGATAAAAATTTATCTAAAGACCACAAAGCAAAAATAAGTATGAAAACCTCTTACTCTTCTACATGACCAAGAAATTTAATATAAAATTCAGCTCGGCATATTTTCTCAGAATTCATATTTTGTCTGATTAAATGAAATGCCACAGAGAATTCCAAATTCTAATATATAGTCATCTTTTGATCAAAATTTGGAAGAGTAAATTCAGAACCTGTAATAATGTATTCCTTAGACATATATTTTCTATACAGACAACCTTGAAACTTGTATGTAGTCACGTCTTACAATGGTAGGCATTGGTACAATTTATGTTAACTCAGTTTAACTTAGTTTTTAACTCAGATTACTATGGGTGCCTTTTATTCAATATTAACTGAGAAATGATGGGAAAAATCATAACCAAATATAATTGTATTATTATCTATTATCTATCGCCTCTCTATCGCCTTTCTATCACCTATCTATCTATCATCTATCTATCTATCATCTATCTATCTATCTATCTATCTATCTATCTATCTATCTATCTATCTATCATCTATCTATCATCTATCTATCATCATCTATCTATCATCTATCTATCTATCTATCTATCTATCTATCTATCTATCTATCTATCTATATCTATCTATCATCTATCTATATCTATCTATCATCAACTACTACTTATTTACCTATCAATATGTAAGTCGTGACAGCCGTAGCCAGGTATCTTAGTGGTTAGAGTGTCATTCTGATAGGCCAAGGATGTGGGTTCGATTCCCGGTCAGGGTACATATGAGAATCAACCAATTAATGTATAAATAAGTGGAACAAATCAGTGTTTCTCTCTTGCTCTCCCCCCCCC